ATCTTTAAGTGCTTTCCAAAAGAAACTCATATTTGCTTGGTGCTTTTTCTGTAAGCATGTTCTGACTATGAGATTTCTTAGTTTAATATAACATCTGTAAAGAAAAAAATAGGAATTGAAAATTGAAGCTTGCATTTATTGATGATTTGATTGAAAAATTGAACCAGTTCTATTTTATTTTCAGGAACTGTGACATAAGTATGCTATGTCCACTGGTTGCTTGAAATGATAATAAATTTTTTATTTCGCAGACATCATTTTGATTTGTAAGAGAAGGTGTTCCTGAAAGCACCTTGGCTTTAGGGCTAAACATTTTGATATGCTTCTGGTCCTTTTCTGTAGGTCCTGTCTTTGCTTCCTTCATATGAAGGAAAATCTGTACTGGAGCTTGGTGCTGGAATAGGCCGTTTCACGGGAGAACTCGCCAAAACAGCTGGGAATGTTCTTGCTCTGGATTTTATTGAAAGTGCAATTAAAAAGGTATTGAAATTTGAAATGTCTTCATATAAAAGTTTTGTGCTGTGCCAACTTGAAATATGATGGCCTTCATCTGATTTCTAGATGTGTGTATGGTTGATTCATTCATTTCTTTTATGCAATTTTTTTCTTGCAGAATGAAATCATTAATGGTCACTACAAGAATGCATCCTTTATGTGTGCTGATGTGACGTCCCAGGACCTGGTGCTTCAAGCTAACTCCATGGATCTGATATTTTCAAATTGGTTATTGATGTATCTTTCAGATGAAGAGGTAATGGATAGTTCCATAGTATTCCTTGATCTTCTCGCTGAGGTTGTCCTTGTAAAATGGATCTGTGTCATAAAAATTCTGAAGGGCACCTGTTTTCTAAATGAGTTAAAATTGTTGTTCGAATGTGCTGACCGAAATATATTTTAAGTTTCTGGCTCTTGAATTTTCCAACTTTCATCTCTTAATGTAGGTTGAGCAGCTAGTTCAAAGAATGGTAAAATGGTTGAAGGTTGGTGGCTATATCTTCTTTAGGGAATCTTGCTTCCATCAATCTGGAGATTCAAAAAGGAAAGTTAATCCGACCCACTATCGGGAACCAAGTTTTTATACTAAGGTGAGAAGGCATACTGTCCTAGTGCTTTTCCCATTTGCTTGTCACTTATATCAGACATTCAGGCTTGTCAGTAAAAAAAAATCAGCTATTATATGAAGGATTGTTGCTTCACTCTTTATTTTTCTTATTATTTTCAATACCATTTTCTTTGAAATAACTAATTGATTGTTTATTCCATAAATAGGTTTTCAAAGAATGCCATACCTTTGATCAAGATGGGAATTCCTTCGAACTTTCTCTGGTTACTTGCAAGTGTATTGGTGCTTATGTTAAAAACAAGAAAAACCAAAATCAGGTACTTTTGTTTGTCAATGGATATACACGTGTTAACCATGGTCAACTGAGGTCAGTGATGGACATGTCTCTATGGTTTATAGATATGTTGGCTTTGGCAAAAGGTTCATTCTACGGAAGATAAGGGTTTTCAAAGATTTTTGGACAATGTGCAGTACAAAGCTAGTGGAATATTACGTTACGAGCGCATCTTTGGAGAAGGTTATGTGAGCACTGGTGGAATTGGTGAGTGCGGCAATCCCTTTTATTTTTAACTTGTGATGTTCTATTTGCATTGTGCCCTTAAATGTTGTTATGTATCACTGTCCAACAGAGACTACAAAAGAATTTGTGGATAAGCTGGATCTCAAACCTGGACATAAGGTGCTTGATGTTGGATGTGGAATTGGTGGAGGTGACTTTTATATGGCCGAAAACTATGATGCTCATGTTGTTGGTATTGATCTTTCCATAAACATGGTATCATTTGCACTTGAGCGTGCCATTGCGCGCAGTTGCTCAGTTGAGTTTGAAGTTGCTGATTGCACCACGAAGACATACCCAGACAACACATTTGATGTCATATACAGCCGTGATACTATCCTTCATATACATGTATGTTTCAAATATATCCTGTTTCAGATTTTACTTTTTTTCAGAAGCCACACTTGATGCATCTTAAAGTTCTAAATTATACGAAATAATACTTGAGAGACATATATATATATATTTTTTATAATCACATCCCAGCGTTAAATGCTGCTCGCTTGTTTTGTTCAGAGTAACATTGTTTAGGTTGACATGATTTTGCTTTTGTTTTTCAGGACAAACCCTCTTTGTTCAAAAGTTTCTTCAAATGGCTGAAGCCTGGGGGCAAGGTCCTTATCAGCGACTACTGCAGGAGTCCTGGGAAACCATCAGAGGAATTTGCAGCATACATCAAGCAGAGAGGTTATGACCTACATGATGTGGAGGCTTATGGACAGGTGCTTCTTACTTGCATTTTTATATGGTTATACTAGATACAGTTACTTTCATCAAAATGCAGCACTGACTCTTGCTTGTTCGTCATATTATCCAGATGCTAAAGAGTGCTGGTTTTCGTGATGTCATTGCCGAGGATCGAACTGATCAGGTTTCTTTGTAACTAGCTTTTCCACTAAGATGTCTGGATGAAGACAAGTTTCTACTAATACTAATCCGTGCTCTGTGTTGCATTTCAGTTCCTTGGTGTTTTAGAGAAGGAATTAGCTAAATTTGAAAAGAACAAGGATGATTTCCTGTCTGACTTCACTCAGGTGATTCAACAGAAGCCCTTAAGAACTCCAATCATGGACTGGCAGGCAGATTAGGAGCCTGCATCCTTTCTTTTGTGGCTTTGACATCTCTAACTCTGAAATTCACTTATATATTCCAGGAGGACTACGATGATATTGTGAACGGTTGGAAGGCAAAACTGCAGAGGAGTTCTGCTGGTGAGCAGAGGTGGGGGCTGTTCATCGCCACCAAATAATGATGCAGATGTGCGTGGACGTGCAAATAAATCATCCTTTTATTATAATCGATGTCGCATTGGTTATTCTGAACCCAGCTCTTACCTGTTAGCCTGGGTTAGTGCCTACTATCCTGTTTATTTAGTGCGTGGAGAAAACTCGTCCAGTTTTACAATCCCGTGACTGCATTGCCGGGGTGCTGTGGTAATCCATGAAGTGTATCTAATAAAGTAATAAGCTGTCTGCATGTTTTAGTATGTGGTCTTTTTGAGTTATGTGCTATACTTATGTGATGGAAGTTTCAGAGTTTCTTATTAAATAAAGCATCAAAGGTAGTGAAATGCAGTGTTGCCTGTCGCTTTTGGAACAGAAGCGCATGACTGATCTCTTGTGTTACTTGGTGGAAGCTAAGACATTGGCATGTGGATGTACATTAGATTATTGGACATTATTTGGGCCATTGATGGCATGCTTGATCCACGAGTTTAAATGTTGTGACTTGAGCTTGGGAATTTCCTTGAAGCTTGTTACGGTCGCTGCATCCGCATCCGCATATCCTCCCCGCACGAGAGCTTGGTTCGGATGCAAAACAGCACAATGCCAACCAGTTGGGTACATTTTTATTTTATTTTTCGCAAGGCCAAACACGCGCGAAACAACCAGGCGACAGCTTGTTCCCGGCTGAACATCGTCTATGACAAGGACTCCTAATAAGCATCTTATTGTAACGCGCGGCATCGAGCCTCCGTCGATTGTCACGTTGCCGCCACCTGCTTCGCTCCTTGAAATTTCAGTTTCGCCACTTTCGCTGCAAATTCACGTTTGCTTTCGCATGTCAAGTCGAGGAAACGGTTGAATCCGCTGTCTGTTTCGCGAGCACCAGGATTCAAGCCCGGTGGACTGAAGTCACTGAACTGAAGCGATTAGCTTTGCCTGTGAGCTGCAACTGATAGAGAGGAACCGTGCAAGTGCAACCCATTCTGACCAATGGGTGACGACCGACGAGTGGGGTGGACGACAAGGCCCAGCGACAGGTGGCCTGGCCGCAGCGGCAGGGCAACGACTTGACTGTTTATTTATCAGGTAGAGCCATGGTTGCATGCTGTATATATAACCCACAGATGCTCCATCGCCAGTTTGATGGTTTCACCGTTGTTAAAGGACACGTAATGACGTAACTATCCCGTTGAAGTTCTCTCTTTCTGCTTCGTTGTTTCCTCATTTAACTCTTTAATTAACCAAAAGATTCGATGGCAAAGGTCGTTAATTTTATTTTTTTACTCCAAATTCCACATGCTAGACCAACCAAACAGTAAGATCCGTGCTTGCACATGCCCGTGGTTTTATCCCAGTAGATAGATTTTTGCTGTATAAATTTGCAAGATAGAAAGTGTTTGTTGCTACGAAGTTTCCCCCCTCGAAACGAGCCTTGGGAGAGTACAATAACATACCGATTGCTTCATTCTTCATGTCGCAAATCACGGCGAAATCTAGAAAAGCAGGTCACGACAAGGCATATGATGAGCCCAAGCCAAAAAGCCCTCAGAAATCACGAAGCGCGTCGACGGGGCCTATGATCCTCGAATCCCTTCAATCAATCATCTAAAAGTATAGATAAAACAAGCGGAATCCTAATTAATCTCACTGGAACCTGAACCCTGCGCTCCAGATCCTAAGAGGGCCCCACACCGCCGCGTATGCGTATTTCCAGTCCCCATCCATACCCGCAGCGGCGCCATACGCACCAGCGCCCGACAGGGACGCCGTGCGCGTCACGAGGCCGAACCGGAAAGACCGCACCGAAAACCTCAGTCCAACACCCCAACACGCACCGCCACAACAAACCACGGGCGGGCACGGCACACCATCGCATCGCTCCCCGCTCGTCCGTTCCCTGCTCGGCGGCTCCCGTCCGCCTCCACTCCACCACGGCACCACCACCCGCTCGCCCGCCCCGAAACGCCACGCACGCAAACCCCCCCGCCCCGCCTCGGCCTCCCGCGGTAAACGCCATCTCCTCTTTTGTAGTCCTCTCCCGACTCCCATTCTCCCTCCCCGGCTCCCCGCCGCCCGCCTTTCAGTTTTGGGTGCCACGGAGGCCTGCCAGTGCCAGCAGTAGCAGGCCACCGCCACACATACGCGCACGAAGATGCCGGTGAAGCGGTCAGCGTCCGTGGCGGCGCTGCTCCCGCCAGTCGGCCGCCGCGCGCGGGCCCGCCTCTGCGTCCGCCTCGCCGCGTCGCTCTCCTTCCTGCTCCTCTTCGTGGCGCTGTTCCGCGCCCAGCCGCTCCTGGGCGTTCCGCCCGCTGCGCCGCCGCCCTCCGAAGGCCCCGCTAAGGTCGCCTTCCTCTTCCTCGTCCGTGCGGGGGTGCCGCTCGACTTCCTCTGGGACGCCTTCTTCCGCGTAAGTATCAACCTCCCCCTGATCGATCCCTCGCGTCTGGTTATCTATATTCGATTTATTAATTGGCGGCCTGATCGCTCCCCATGTTTTTTGCAGAACGGCGAGGAGGGGAGGTTCTCGGTGTACGTGCATTCCGCGCCGGGGTTCCAGCTCGACCGCACCACCACGGGATCGCCATACTTCTACGGGCGGCAACTTGCGAGGAGCGTCAAGGTTGGACCATCTGTATTTTCTACTGTACCTTTAGTATGACGTGGGGTCTCTTGGTACGGTTTTGACGGAATATATGGTTGCGACCCGCAGGTGGTGTGGGGAGAGGCAACCATGGTCGAGGCAGAGAGGATGTTGTTTGCCGCCGCGCTTCAGGATCCCGCGAACCAGCGCTTTGTTTTGCTCTCTGATAGGTGGGTGTGCTACTTTCTGATGTTCGCCACATGTGTTAACTGATCTTGTTCGTACGTCTAGTTCAAAGTCCGTGAAGTGGTCCATGATGAAATGCACGGTACATTGTCTGACTCTTGATCGGTTTAATAATAACCTTTAAAAGATGTTTGGTAATGGTAGTTGACCTAGTCATATGCATTTGGACGTCCTGTTCTGCTGGTACTGCTTACTGCTCTCGATATACTTTTCTAATAATATTCTCTAGTGTCTCCATATCACGTTTTGTTTTGCTTTCATATGTTGGCATAACAACGTCCTCACTTGTTATTTAAAGTTTGCGATTTCTATATTAGAATTTAACATTTTGATACATTTTTTTTCTTTTTTTCACCGTATGCAGCTGTGTTCCTCTCTACAATTTCAGCTCCATGTATACTTACTTGATGGCTTCACCTAAAAGTTTTGTAGACAGGTAATGGGGACAAAACATGCAATTTCTTGTTTGTTCATTTTGATTTTCTCCACAATCTTCAATATTTCAATTATTTGTTCTCAAATATAATAAGTTATTAGTCTTGCAGCTTCGTTGACAAGACGGAGAAGCGTTACAATCAAGAGATGTCTCCTGCCATTCCAAAGGATAAATGGAGGAAAGGATCTCAGGTTATTAGTTTGTGACCTTTCTTGTTCCTATATATATTTCAATACCTGCTGAGAGCTGTATTCTGACTTCTGGGTCCATCTGTCAACTCATTTCAGTGGGTAGTATTAATCAGAAAACATGCTGAAGTTGTTGTTGGTGACAAAAATTTATTAAAAGTATTCAGAAGACATTGCCAGGTATATTGTTGTTCTCTTCATGTTGAAACTGGAATTTGTTTTTAGCTTCATTTGTTTTTTAGCTTCTCTTCATATTGACACTGGAATTTGTTTTTAGCTTCATTTGTTTTTTAGCTTCATTTGGTAACTATCAAAGGGATTTCCAGTGCACCTTGTTGTTTCATTTTTTCTCTCTTTATTGCTCTAATAAGTGTAGATCCTTGGATCCATGAGCTTACAACTAGTTGAACAAAAGCATGAGATGAGCTGACTTTTATTGAAATTAGATGGGAGAAACAACTGTCCCTTTAATTTTGATTCACTTGTGGTCCAATTAATTGGATAAGTGCCAAGCAAACTGCTCAAATACTTTCAAGGTTTAAATACTAATCTGAGCTAGTTTTATGAAATCTATTCTGGTCTTCTTTTCCACAAACAACATTACTCGATGTAGTCTACACTTCCAGGACTATCTTCATAAAAACTACTTTATGATTTCCACTTGATTACAGTCTATTTTGATTAGCACCATGATCAATGACTGGTGCAGATTTATTATGATCTTTATCTCACTTATACGAGGCTCTAATACAACACAATAATATAGTCTTCATATTCTTCAATCAGCAGCAGTTACAGTTTTTTTTGGGTTTAACCAACTTCTGCAGATGGTAGTAACCAAGAGCTTGCTTGGACGAAGGCCAAATGCTGTAAGTTTTTAGTTTATTTCATTAGTGCACACTTTTATTAGGTTTGTAATTACTCTAGAGATATGAAGTTGTGAGCCAAAATTGTGGCATTCAATGCCTGTTGTTTGGCACTTTGAGAAGGCGATTTTACTGTAGATTGGGAAATATCGTATATAAGAACAATGCTTACCTTGATCTGTGCAATCTTAGCTAAAATGAGATTTATAATGTACTGGAGCTAGTAATAAACATAATTGGATCTGCGCCATTGCTCTATGCTTTGTAATATGGACTACACTAGTCCATCACGCGCGCCCTTGCGCGCGTCGGCGTATCACTTGGCTAAGGCGCTGGTAAAAAATATATGTTCAATCTTTGCATAAGGCACTGGTAAAAAATATATGTTCACTTTTTGCATGGAAATAATATTAGGGGAAGGAGTTTAATGTAGATATGTCATGCACAGAAACTGAAAGATTTAAGTTCTTTTTATATGGTGCAGGACACATCCATGCCATCCTATAGATTGAGAGATGGAAATTGAGTAAATCCCTTATAAATGAAATTAACTCAGTGCTATATGTCGTCGGTAGTCACTTGACCTGGGGGTTTTGCAGTCCTACCAATTATCCATCAACTATATTTTTTAGGCAGGATATATGAAACTAAACTTATATCTGATCTAAAATGACGTCTATAAAGACAGCACAAGAGCAAGAGCGCCCTAGGAGGGAAAAAGAATCATTGGCATGTCAGTCACATTTATACAAAGCGAAAACAAAGGAACCCACTCTCCTCTGTTTCTTCTGAAAATCCATTAGTGGCATATAAAAATGTCAATACAAAATTATTGGCACCAACTATTACGAATCTGAACATGTTTGGGGAACTATGCTCTAACACATTGACTAAACAATCTGACACAAGCAAACTGATATAGAGAGGATGGAACCCTGTCATGAAAATATAACTATAAAAGGGCTATGGCATATATAGATGAAGACTAAGTCATCTTTGCTTGTAGTTTATACTGTTTCAGTTTAACTATAAATAGCCTCTAAAAATGTGCTACTTTACCTTGGTCTAAGAAATGCAGGATGGGAGGGGGGAGGAGGGAAGGGAGAGCAGCAGTATTAGTATGGGTTACCAGGAGATAATTTTTTTTAAAGGAAATCAAACAAGGGGAAGGGGGAGGGAAGGGAGAGCAGCATAAAGATGCATTCCTGAAACATGATGTCTAGGTTGTGCACTGATATGTTAAAAGATGGCAGAGCAAGTCAGAATGGGCAGTTTCTGTACATAATTAAAAGATGTTAATGCATACATGTGCTAGCAGTACCATGGAAACAATGACTTGAGTGTCGTCCTCCAAAATATATAGGTATAATACAGTCCATATATAGCAGTTTCAGGATACGCAGGACCATAGATATGTATGAAAGAAGACATCATCTTAACATCAATGTTTGATTGCGTTTCAAAAACCCAGTGTTTATGCAAAACAAGGATTGGAATATTATGAAACTGGCATGGGATGCCAAGCAAGCACTGGTATCTCACCCTAAAAAAGACCAAACCGAACCCTATCAATCCTCATTGTATTAGAGTGCAAGTGGCATAAGCCGCTTCCTGTGAGGAAACTAAGTAAGATAAAAAGTAAGTCCTTATTGACCAGTCATACTAATTTCATTGGATCAAAATATGCAAGTCAGCATAATGACTATCTATTTTCTGAGCGCCCAGCAAGGATCAATCACAGGCAGCGCAAAAAACATGTAAATGACAGATCATAATAAAATGCGGAGCCTAGGAGGAGAGGCGAACCTGCGGGACGAAGCCGCGTCGGGGTGGCAGCCACGGTGGCGGCCACCTGCGGGGGGCAGCGGGGGCCAGCTCGCGGACGTGCGCCACCGTCCAGCCCGCGCACCGGCCATCGTGGAGGTCCGCTCGCGCCGCCAACCTGCCCGCGCGTCCGTGGGGACGACCGGCGACGGAGGGGCCAAACCCTAGGCCGCCTTTCGCGCCGCTGCGACCTGCTGCCTTGCGTCGCGAGGAGGAAGGGGAGGAGGAGGAGGGAGGCCGCCGCCGCACGGAGGGCCGGCCACCGCCGAGGCCGCCCCGCGCCGTCGTCGGTCGCGTCGCGACTCGGGAGCGAGGGAGGGAGCGTACAGGAGACTAGGGAGGGGATGAGAAGTTTCCTGAAGAAGAATCAGGAGCTGGAGTATATATTTGTTCCACCGGATTCGCATGACAAGCCGCAGAAGCTAGCAAAATGAACCCAGAGTGACGAGGAGCCGGCAGAAGCAGATTCCAACAAAAGCGGCTACAAGCAATCTGGGCCACACGATGGAGGATCGGACGGCTAGAAACAATTCGGGTGACGTGGATGGCCTGAGCATCGGCTAAACTAACCTGCTTTGATATATAGAGATTTCATCTTACCAAATGTGATATTCTGTAAATGATGTGACTTGTCTAAGTTTTATATTAGGTACTCCCTCCGTTTCAATTTATAGGCCATTTTGGCTTTTTATATACACTACTTATATTATGTATCTAGACACATCGTATATCTAGGTGCATAGCAAAAGCTATGTACATAGAAAAGCAAAAACGATCTATAATTTGTGACAGAAGGTGGTAAGTGTTTTCTTTTTGTTTGTTTCAATCCTAAATCAATCTAATGGGTGAACTGATTTTCCATCCCCTGTTCAGTAACTATTTTTCATGCATCAAACAACTGGCCGTCTGATCCTCTAATTGAATGTTCTTGTTTGTTTGATTAGTGTTTACATTTAATGAATCCACTTTCCTTGCAGAGACGACTGGGGCTCACCTTTCGGAGAAAGCAGGTACTGGTAAAGTTCAGCTGTCCACATTCTCTTCGAATATCCTCAAGCATGTATTCAGATGAAGTAGATCTAGTTGTCACTTGTCATACTTACACATATGATTGCAAAAAGAAAGGAGCACATAGAGTTTCTTGTTCATAGCTGTTGCTCAAAGCACATAAGGTTTCGTTGTTCATTTAATTATGTGCCTGACACATTATGTCATGTTTAACTTTTCAGAAAGGAGTAACTCAACAGGAGCATGATTGTATTCCGGATGAACATTATGTGCAGACATTATTTTCTGTAAGCTTTGTTGTTACTTCTATAGATCTCAAAGTTGGAACTGTCATAAGTATCATACAGATTCATAATGGTGGTACATTATTTTAATATATTCTAGATCAAAGGTCTTGAAGATGAACTGGAGAGAAGAACTTTGACCTATACCTCATGGAACCAATCATCAAATCCGAAAGACAAAATGACTTGGCATCCCATGAAATTTGAGTATGATACATCTAGCCCTGAGCATATCAATGCTATCAAGGTAGGCTCTTAATTTTCTTCTGTATGTCTGTTACTCAGATCAGAATTTGTGTTTGCATGGTAGAATTAGTTACCTCAAACCTATGTGTTGAGAATAGGTTTAATCATCGATGCCTGATGGCATTGTGCATTCTATTATTCAAGCATGATCCATTGTACGGTTTACTTTTATGACAGCCCGCTTTCTTAGATAAACATTGAGTTCTGTAGGACAGAACATATATATTGTTATTGCTCAGTTACCACCACACCACTCATAATTTGATATGAATATTTTTGTAGAGAATTGATCATGTCAACTATCAAATGGAGCAGAGGACAGAGTGGTGCCAATGCAATGGTACCTTGGTTCCATGTTTTTTATTTGCCAGGAAGTTCTCCTATAGTGCGGCCATGCATCTTTTGGAACAAGGAGCCATTGGCACACCGAAATCTGCTTAGCTGATGATTAACTTTTAACAAAAGTGTTTACACAAGTCTGCACTCACCGTTTTGATTGGTCAGATACTGTTCACAATTAGTACCAGCCTCAATGGGAGCTGTAGCATTTGCAGCAGTAGCTAGAGACATGGAGTATCAGAGTATTGACAGAGTGACCAGAGTGCGCTTATACAGTTAAAGGACTTAAAGAGGGTTGATGTACAGACTACAGAGCATTGGTTTTGAAGTTTGTCAGCTCCAGTCTGCGGTATCCAGGAGACAGAGTACTCGCAACCCGTAACCTGACAGAACAAGAAAGTTATAACAATAGCTTAATTTTTCTTATAAATATGATTCCCCTTGTATGATTAAAGAATAGATAGTTCTGTTACTTCATACAGGTTATTAGACATAGTGAATAGGAAAATGTGCAAGAAGATACATGTGTCCATCTGATCTACTGTTTAGAACATTGGTCACATTGGCCGATGATTTGAAATTATTGCAAGTCTATAGACCAACGAAAACTACTGTGTTTTGCCTCTCTTTTTTTCCGTTTATCCCCTCGGGAACGTACTATTATTTTTCAACAAACGTCGTACCTCTAAGCCTGTATTTGCTTATATATCTTATATACTAGACCCAAATGATTCTACCCTGCTGCTTCACATGCTGAGGAAATGTATTAGAGTACTTCCTCTTGTAGATCTTGTGTAGAAAGGACTTCAACACTGCATGTACCGTTTCACTGGGTTGTGCTTCAACACTGCATGTCTGAAATC